GCCCCGAGCGAGCGCTTGCCCATCCAGCTCTCAGGTTTCCAGCACCTCCCCTCGCCCCACCTCGTAGGCGTGACAGTTGCCAGAGTCTCAATGGGGGTTGGAGCTTCCAGATCCAGGCTGGAATGGCTACCCACTACAGCCAGCAGCTCAGCCCTGCAGGCTTTAGAGACAACGGAGATCCCACAGTGAGTGAGTCATCCTGAGAGTCTGAGGGGACAGGCTGCTAACCTCCTCAGGGAACACTTTCCCTGAGGACCACAGCAGAGAAGTCTCTGCCACCTTCAGAATCTACCCTCAGAATGCACCAGTGCTTCTGACCACCTCCCCGTGGTGTTGGGCAAAGACGTAGAAGGAAGGGGTATTTCCTCTGAGGAAGGAAACGCTCACTCTCTGCCCTGTCCTATGCAGGAGCTTCGGCAGTACTTACTCAGGACGGGATCTGAACTGTGACTTAAATCCAGATTCTAATCTAGCCCTCCCTAAGACCATGTGTGTTCACCATGGGATTTCCAATAAGCCCTGGAGAACTCTGTAGCCATATGAGGTCCTCAAGGGCATTGTAGCCATGGAGCTACAAACATGAACGTCCACACCACATCAGGCTGCACATTTGTCTGAAGTTATATACCTCCCGGAGAGGTACCCGACTGATGGTCTTCCAGAAAAGGCCCTCGATGACCCTAAGCCCCCAATGGCTCTCCTAAGAAAGCCTCTGATAGAGAAGGCCAGTTGTAGGACATGATCAAAGATCTTCTAAAAGGCGTGGCCCAGATTTAGCATGGGTCTCCCTACCTCAAATGATTCAGATTTAGGGCGGATGGTCCCACCTCAACCACTCTAAGAAAATCCCTCACAGGTGTTCCTAGCTGCTTGGGTTTTAGTTGATTTCAGATGAAGTCAAATTGACAACCAAGATTAGCCATCACACCTCCTTGTCAACAAACAGAACAAGGAAAATGAAAGCATACTTTTCAAACACATTGTTGGAAAGGTCAGGTAGGCATTGGCAGAAAAGCTGGGAAGTTTGTTACAGGCCGCAGATGCTGTTGGCATTCCTGACTTTAGGATTTGTAGAAGCTAGAGGTCTGTTCTTACTTTCCAAAGGATTGATCTGCTAGTCAGAAGGATGCTGAGGTGAGCAATAACTGGCTGTAGAAGGACCCGTAACTTCCTAACCTCTCCACATCACTGAAATTCTAGTCAGTCAGCCTTTGAGGTCACGGTTTCCCCACACTTTTGTCCCCAGCCCCCATCACAGTTGAAGAGAGGAACACCACTTCCCTTGGTCCTGGGTGTGGGTCTGGGGGCAGAGGCCTTTCCTTCCTCCCTCTTGCCCAGACTCCCAGTGACAATGGACTCCCAGGATGAATAGAGGGACAGACAGCTCTGGAGAGCAGGAGGGCACTCATTTGGATCACAAAGTCTTTACGGTCTGAGGGGCTCAAGGCAATGGCTCCAGTGAGGTCACTAAAACCCGAATCCCATGAGAGGTGGCCAGTTCTTGTTGATGGGATTTTCATCTTGTCCAGACCTACATACAGCTCCTGGGTGCTATCCCTTAGTGTCTCCAGGTAAAAAGCTGTATTAGTTAGGGTTCTCCAGAGGAACAGAACTTATATAATGAATAGATAAACATAAAGAGGGGGTGGATCTTCCCACCTCAAAAGATCTGGATTAAGGGTGCGACTTCCCACTTCAAATGATTTCATTAAGAAAAAGTATCTCACAGGTGTACCTAGCCACTTGGATTTTAGTTAACTCCAGATGCAAAATAATGGGGTGCAAACTACAGTCTAAAACCAGAAGCAAAACTTTATTCCAAATAAATTTTTGGAATAAAGTTTTGCTTGGGGCACAAAAAGCTTATCAGCTAGCTGAGACCACAGTCAGAGTTGAGATTCTGAAGCTGTGGCCCCTGGGGGTGGGTCATGAGCCCCTTTTATAGTAAGAGGCAAGCATGAGGCATGAACGAAGGAATTTTAATAATTTCAAAGTTAAGCTGTTTTAGAGACATATTGCATTTGGGGATTTACAGTTTCCTGCTAACAAGGTTTGAGAGGATTCCAGCTAACTGATCTCTGTATAACCCAGCCGTCCTTCCTGATGTGATTCACAGTAGTCTGTCAAGGCTTCTTGACACATCTGGTTCCCCACAGCAGGAACAATGCAAAACAGGTTGTCACATAGAACTCTTTAAGGTTAACTTTGATCTATGGCGGTTGTAAGTGGTAGGGGGTTATCAGAATAGCTGACCCCAAACTGCAGAGAGCCATTGTATAAATAAATAAATAAATAAATAAATAAATAAATAAATAAATAAATAAATAAATAAATAAATAAATAAATAAATAAATAGCATTTGGGTTGCTGACAGAGCTGCCCATCATAAAACGAAGATAGGCCTAGTTAAAGGTTAATCCCTTTTTGCTGGCACAGCTCATAGCTCTCAGTTCCCATCTCTTAAGCAATAACCTTATATTCCTATATTCTTCCTATTTCTATCTTATTCCCGTATTCTTATCTTATTCCTATATTCTTATCTTATTCCTATATTCCCCGGGCCCTTCATAGTCAAGTTGACAACCAAGAGCAGCCCTCACAGAAGCCATACAGATCTCCACACGGCCTCACTGATCACTTCCCCATTCCTGTCCAGCAGGGAGACATTTCTCACTCCCATCTGCCTCTTAGAGACTAAAATAATGCCTCGTGGGGAGTGGAGAGCAGGGAGTCAGAATTTATTGGACTTTCTCATCTTTATTAGACTGGTGGGTTTTTTAAAAACGATTTTGTGAGTGACCGTGTGGTGTGTGCCAAAGAGGGGCAGCTCATTCTTGTGAGCCCACGTGGAGGCCAGAGGGGGATGGATGTCTACACTCCTACTCTGTCACTCTCTGCCGTATTCCCTCGGGACAGAATCGCTCACTGAACCTGCAGCCGGGCTTGCAGCCATCAAGGCCTGTGATCCTCCTGTCTCCACCCCCACAGCGTTGAGGATACATGCCCGTGCAGCCATGCATGGGTTTCTTTATGTGGGTACGGGGAATGCGACCATAGGGCCTCATGCTTCTGCAGACAGCGCTCTTACTCATCCAGCGCTCTCCCCAGAGCCAGGTTAGTATTGGTGAAATTATTAAGGCCACTCCACGTCATTAAAAGGGAGGTTTATTTAGTGGCGTAACTTACAAATGAAGGGATAGGTAGGTTGCAGGGTCTGGGGAAGACGTAGCGCAATCCGGCGGTGTTCTCTGGAGAACTCTGCTCGGTCTACCTCCAGCGTCCACGGTCCAGGAACCAAGAGAGATGGTGCATCCAGATCTCGGGTCTTCAGGGTCCTCTCTCGGCCCCGCCTTGTAGGCGTGACAGTTACCCAAGCCTCAATGGGGGTTGGAACTTCCAGACCAAAGCTGGAATGGCTGCCCACTACAGGTTAGTATTTTTAAGTTATCTTCAACCAAACTGAGAAGGATCAGTCACGGCTTTTAGTTTCCAGTGCTCGGTATGTTTTGAGTGTGAAATGTCCCCAAGCCTCATGTGTTTCAACACTTGGGTCCCCAGATGGCAGTGCACTTTGGGAGGCTGGAGAACTGGAAGACATGAGCCTAGCTGTCAGAGGTAGATCGTTAGGAGTGAGCCCTAACTGACCTTGAAGTGTCTGCCTGCTGATCTCTGCCATTTGAGGACCTGCTGTGGACAAAAATACTCCTGATGCCTGGCTTCTCCCCCTTGGTAGACTGAAACTCCCTTAAAACCATGATCCAAAATAAACCTCCTTCCAATAAGTACTTTCTACTGGGTATTTGGTCACTGCAATAAACATTAGTATTGCATCACCCTCAAGGGCTCCCTGCAGCTGGGGCTAGGCTAAGAACAGAAGAAAATCATTTTCTTTCTTGTTAGTCTCCTCCGGCCTGCGTGTGGGGCTGCCCAGAACTTTCTCCAGCTGTATCCACTCAGGAAGCATGCAGTCTGAGAAAAGAGAGAGAGAGAACCCTCTCCTGTGTGTGGAGGCTCCCTCCCCCAAATGCAGGCGTGAGAGCTTGAGTAGCCTGGAAAGCCACATGCTCATTTTCCCAGCCCCTTGGCTGCCAGGCTGTAGGCCCATGCCCAGGCTCCGTTCCAGCTCTGAGGAGGAAAAGGAAGCCGCCAGGGAACTCAGCAACTGCGTCAGAACTGACCATCCAGAAATACTTTTGACACCCCAGATTATTTCTCCAACCCATCCAGAGCCTCTGGGAGTACCCCGCCATCAAATTAACCTGCTTCAGGGCCTGGAGAGAGGGCTCAGCTGTTAGGAGTACTTGTTCTTGAAGATAACCCAGGTTTGGTTCCCAGCACCCACATGACAGTTCACGGCCGAAACTCAGTTCCAGAGGGAACCTGACGCCCTCTTCTGGCCTCTATCTGTATTACATGCACGTTGTATGCAGGCAAAAATAGCCATACACTAAAAATAGAAATAATACTTGTTTGTTTGTTTGTTTTTGTTTTTTGAGACAGGGTTTCTCTATGTAGCTTTGGGCCTGTCCTGGATCTCCCTCTGTAGACCAGGCTGGCCTGGAACTCAGAGATCTGCCTGGCTCTGCCTCCCGAGTGTTGGGATCAAAGGCGTGCGCCACCACCGCCCGGCAAAATGCATTTTAAAATAAGAATCTGAGCATTTGCTTCTAGCAGCTAAAGCTGGTTTCTGTGTTTGCAGCCGAGACAGTCTCAGAGGAAGTCTAGAGAGGGGTATGTTTTTCCCATCCCTAAAACTCCATCCAGCCTAGTGCAAGAGTTCACCAGGTATGAGCATCTTCCTTTCACTGGGGGGCGGGGTGGGGGTGGGTATGGAAAGGCCTAGGAAATGGGTTAGCTTAGGCTAGGAACAAACAGCCTCCCCATCGAGAATAGGAGACATGATGGTGGGGAGGAGGAGGATGTGAG